GTGTTGATGCGAATGAGAACTTTGATGTGATTGTATTCGTAACGCAAGTGCTTGTGATAACTGAGGACACACTTGAAGCTCCAGCCTATGTTTTGCTGGCTCTCGATACAATTTTCTGTCATAAGATTTGCATACTTTTCCAGGAGTCCGTGCAAGAGGTTTAGGCTCACGCTAGCTTTGGTTTCAAAAGAGAGGATGGCACCTGTAACTTCAGTTTCCTAGTTATTGAGCTGAAAGTGGATGACAAAGTTTGCTCGCGGCCGAACATACCAGAGACAGTTCCTTGACATTATGCATCGCTTTTAGTTATGGAATGGAACTTTTTTTGAATCAGTTTCACTTATTCAGATCCAAAACGTGCGCCATGTTCCAGTAGAACCTCAGTTGCCCTCTTCCAGCATATGTTTTCCGGGAAAAGCACCACCAACGCTTCAAAGCTGGCAAGGACTGCAGCCAGCGGATCAGAAATCCAAGCTTCCAAGCTTTCAGCGTCTAAAGGATTCGCTATCGCGGTCTTCAATTTCACAGGTCATCTTTTTCCTCAGCAATTACTTTTTTGAGGAACGATGGGACTTCCAACTTGTGCGGCTGAAATGTATGGCAGTACAATCAGGAGAAATTCTTTGATTGCTGAAAAAAACTCGGGGGTATGTAATCTCTACAAAAAGGCAGTACGGCCAAGGTCTGTGCTAGTAATGAATGAAAGAAAAAAAAAGGGTTCAGACTGTTGCGATGAATATTTTTTTAAAATAAGTCAAGGTGGAATTTAAAAAAAGTCATGTGAAGAGCTGTATGTACAAAAAACCTGCCTGTGTTTCATCCCCAAGCTGTAAACACAGACAGCACAAAGTGTGATTAGAGGCGGGAATCATCAGTACAGTCCCCTAACCACCATGTTTAAATGAACATAGCGTAGTCGCAGGATGAGATAAGATAAAGAAACATGCAAAGAAATGAGGGAAAAGGAAATTGGGAAATGTAGACTAACGTGAATGAGGAAATTATCGCCTTGCTTCGTTTCGAAGGGGGTTTTCAAGATAGAAGAACCCAGCCCAGCTGTAGCAGGCACACAAGAGTATCCTAGTAAAATAACCAATACGAGGTGTTGTCTTTCCTAGCCGCGATTATTCAAACAGTCTTGAACTTGAGGAAGAAACTTTTTAATTATGGGTTTTTGCATATGTGCAAATGCAAAAACACACATTGTGACGACCGTGATGTGCATGTGTGTATGTTCGTGTATGTAAATGTGTGGCGTGCCTGTGTGCCTGTCCGGGTATTTCAACTCAGCAACTACGCAAGCTCCAACAACAAAATTTTGCCAGCGTGCTACCCAGTCAATTGCCACCCCGAGACCGCAGTATTAACCCCCACTCAAATATGCGCCCAGCGTACGACCAAGCGCAAGTTTTGGTGTAGAAACCGTTAACTCGGAGACCAGAGAGGTTGAAAGGCTAAAATTTTCTGGCATGTTTCTCGGCCACGCAGAACTTAAAGATTACAAACTCAGTCCCTGAGTACGCGTGATTTTCACGTACAGCCACATGAAAGCTTTTTGGGGGAGAATTGCTAGCTTGGGAACTAGAAAAGCTCGAAAGCTGAAATTTTGAGGGGATCCAAGTAGAACTCAAGGATTTCAAATCCAGCCCTGTGGTATGCATAGTTCTCACACATGACTCTGCGAAAGTTTTTAGCAGGAAAATCGCTAACTTGGGAATTAAAAAAGCAGGAAAGTTGAAATTTTAACAGAATTTTCTCCATCCCAGTACCAAAATAATAGTTGCACAAATAACTTCCTGAAAGTTGCACAAATAACTTTCTGAAAATAGACCAGAATGTCACAAATTCTAGCTACTGGGATTTGAAACAGTCTTACTGCAGCACGAAATACTGAAAAAGCACATGATCGCATAGGTTTGTCACGTCGCCAATGATGTTGTTATGCGTTTTTGCACATATGCA